CTACAATAGTAAATTGTCTAATATGCATATACAGCAATAAATTGTCTAATATACATGTGCAGCAATAAATTGTCTAATGTACATGTGCAGCAATAAATTGTCTAATATACACCTACAATAGTAAATTGTCTAATATGCATATACAGCAATAAATTGTCTAATATACATGTGCAGCAATAAATTGTCTAATGTACATGTGCAGCAATAAATTGTCTAATATACACCTACAATAGTAAATTGTCTAATATGCATATACAGCAATAAATTGTCTAATATACATGTGCAGCAATAAATTGTCTAATGTACATGTGCAGCAATAAATTGTCTAATATACACCTACAATAGTAAATTGTCTAATATGCATATACAGCAATAAATTGTCTAATATACATGTGCAGCAATAAATTGTCTAATGTACATGTGCAGCAATAAATTGTCTAATATACACCTACAATAGTAAATTGTCTAATATGCATATACAGCAATAAATTATCTAATATACATCTATAATAGTAAATTGTCTAATATACATATACAGCAATAAATTGTCTAATATATTTCTGCAGCAATAAATTGTCTAATATACATGTGCAGCAATAAATTGTCTAATATACACCTACAATAGTAAATTGTCTAATATGCGTATGCAGCAATAAATTGTCTAATATACATGAACAGCAATAAATAGTCTAATATGCATATACAGCAATAAATTGTCTAATATACATGAACAGCAATAAATTGTCTAATATACATGAACAGCAATAAATAGTCTAATATACATATAGAGCAATAAACTGTCTAACAGACATATACAGTAATAAATTGCCCAATACACGCGTGCAATAACAAATTGTCCAATATCCATGTCCAGTAATAAATTGTCCAACATACGCGTCTCCTCGAAAATTGCACTCCGGCCAACTTTTTGAGGTAGATACCGCTTCGCGTCGCCGCCCATTGGGCATTTCCGATCGAAATCTCGGTGCCGTTTCCTCGAAAACGTTTCAATTCCCGATACTAATTAAATTGGCCGATAGCAAGCGGCGTCCGATTAAGGCAGTACATCGGAACACGCCGGGATATCGGGTATGTACGAGCCGGCTGACCCAAGACTGATGTCTCGACCCGTCCTGAAACGAGGCCGTTGCTCAATCCGCCAAATATGGCCAGTCGACACGATCAGCCGCGATCGCGTTTAACGATCCTGTCACATTTCAGATCTAACAAGATAACCCCATGGTTTCTCCTTGTTTACAGGAATATTTCGGATCGCTGCCCGTCGCGCGCGCCTTTACCTTTGTTGCCGGCATTAATTAGCCAAGATGAATCGTTCGGGCCACGGGCGATTAAAGTGTTAGCCGGTAATTGCCCCCCTAATTGGACATTTTATCCCGTGCAATTTCTTTATTCGTTTCGCACTCGCGATATAATGGGCCCAGCTGGATAGAACTCTCCGGATCGAGGGATACCCGTAAAGGAGACCGAGTCGTGTCTCGTTCGTGATTAACAGTCCGAAAGCCGGTGCGAGATTAATGTACACGTTCCGAGATTTATGTGTTCTGCAAGCAAAAATGAAACCGCGACCGTGGAGGATGTTTTCTAATTCGTTGGTACGGAGTGATCGATCGACCGGCGGATCTTTATGCGACCTGCAAGTTTTCGCGGTTCAAAGAAACGGAACGACAATGCGTTCTTCTAATAGTTTCTCCTAGTTACGGTGAATTCTCCCTAATTGACGCTCAGCATGTACACGAAAATGGACGATTTGAGAACAACTATAAAAATCGTATCTCTCCTTTCCAAATTGTCCATTTCTGCGTACAATCTGAGCGTCATTTAAGAAGAATTTACTGCATCGACGTCGATATTCTCAGAACATTCTGTTTCGTCGAATAAACATCAGAAATAGCTCTAACTTCTAGAACCAGGAATCAGACTTGGAATTAGATAAATCACAAAATACATGATAAAACCTCGCACGATCAAAAACGTGTCTCGACAACTAGAATTGACGCGCCTCCACTCGTTTATTTATTTGATCGCGGCCTCGCGGAATAAAAATTGACTTAGCCTGCATTCTAAATGTTCCATAATGTGCACCATAACTTCCTAAATAATAATTCATCTTTTCACACATCTTACCCTAATCTATTCTAAATCGACCTATCCTACCTCGTTCTATCCAGTTTTTATCGCACAGTCTCCCTTCCTTTTCTTACAGGCTCCTTCTGAATCGTACAGTAATTGGGTCCATAAGCAAATGTGTACTTTTGTTTCTCGAAGAACTGATTTGAAAGCGGCTTCAGAGTCAGCAACGGGACGATTAGTCGTTGCGCGTAAGATAGGGGAGGAAATCGTCGACGACGTTGGCTCAACGATTGTCCGCGACGATAACAACAAGGGTGATTCAAAAGGGATAGATGAGAGCGGAGAATGAAGGATTAAGAGAGAGAGCGCGAAATAGACATCAAAAGAGAAAAGTAGAGAGAGAGAGAGAGAGAGATCTCAGAGAGGAAAGTAGAGAGGGGGAGGGAGTAAGAAAAATGAAG